CCCAGGCGCCCCTGTAATGGTCTGCTTTTAAAAAGACATCGTGGGATTCCATTTGCTAATATTTTGTTTAGGATTTTTGTTTGTGTGCACGTGGATCAGATGGGCCCGTCATTTCCCTCTCTTGCCTTGTCCTTATCTACTTTAGGGATCAAGGTTATACACTCCTCATAAAATGACTTGGGGGAGTGTTTCCTCTTCTTTGAGTCTCCAGAGCACTTGTGTAAGACAGATAAAACCACATAAGGGTCTGGTAAATGCAGCTACCGGACTGTCATCCTTCCGCAGCCCCGCTTTTTTGGCCCAGAGTCTTGGTTTCTTTGGGGACAACCTTTCTTGCATGTACCCCAACCGATACCCTCCGTCCCCCAAGAAAAAACAAAGAAAACACATACCCACCCACCCAGGAAGCATCTCAAATTGAAATGCTCACCGCTGGGGTGCCTGGGGGGCTCAGTCAGTCAAGCGTTAGACTTCGGCTCAGGTCATGATCTCACGGTTCGTGGGTTCGAGCCCCGCGTCGGGCTCTGTGCTGACAGCTCGGAGCCTGGAGCCTACTTCGGATTCTGTGTCTCCCTCTCTTTCTCTGCCCCACCCCCGCTCATGCTCTGTCTCTGTCTCCCAAAACTGAATAAACGTTTTTTTAAAAAATTAAAAAAAAAAAAAAAAAAAAAAAAAAAAGGAGAAGAAATTCTCACCACTTACTTAGAAAGCTGTGTTTCTGGTTTCTTACAGGTGGGTCCTTAATTCAAGATTTTAGTATGAAGAATTGTTTCCCAGCCTGCCCTGAGCACCCCAGGTAACAACAGGTAGATGCTTCTCTTAAGTAGTTAACAACTTTTCTTGAACACCCAGGTGTAGAATCACTCACTTATCCTTGAGGGCAGCCTTGACCATGAGCCGCGATGGGTCCATGAGTCTGGCTGAGCTGGGACCCTAGTCTGCCTGCCAAGGCTGCCCTGTTTTAAGGACGTGTTGGAAACTATGTGGTCCAAATCCTCCGAGCACAAAATTAGCTTCTTTCCATATTTTTGAAAGGGAAAGAACATCATGCTAAATATAACGTGGGTCAGCAAGCCAGAAACAACATAAACAGCCATCAGCTGCGGCTCGGGAGCTGGGTTTCCACATCCCTGGTGAACCCAACAGGATCCTGGGCTCCAGAGGGAGCGTGCAATCGACGAGCGATGTTGAGCGACCATTGGAAGCGTAACCCTGCCACGAACCCAAAACCCAAAAACCTTTATTCCATTTGTTCATTCTAAAGGCACCACAGGCCCGTTTCTGTTTCTAGTCCTTAGTCTCCCAGTAAGAAAAAGACAACAAAAATCTTTCTAATCCCACAACACACACACACACACACACACACACACACACAACCAAAACCACCGTGGTATGCATAATTTGAGTGTTTTGAAATTTAATATAATCCATTAAATCGTGTTTGTGTATCTGTTTATGTATTATGGAGGGCCCCAAGCCATTATAATATCCAGCACCATGTCATCTTTGCCCCCCTCGTGGGTGGTCTCACCCCATTGGCAATGCAAGCTTTAAATAATATTAAATAACAAACCTTTCTCTAAGGACTGACTCTTGTGCTGGTCACATACAGTTCTCGGTGCTTTATGTATCTTTCCTTGTTCACTTGTCAAAACTCTCCTAAGAGGTGAATACTAGAAGGCTTTTATTTCCCCTTTACAGTGGTGGATACTGAGGCACAGGGAGGTTAAGTAATTTGCCCAAAGTCACACAGCCAGGAAAGTAGAGTGAGGATCTGAGCTCAGGCAGCCGGTTTCCAAACTGGCTCCAAAGTTCATGTTTAACCACCAACCTATGTTGCCTTGCAACAATACGTTGTTCTGGTTGTAACACCTTCAAGATACAGAAATTGAGTGAAAGCTATACGCTCCAAGCCCTCTCCGTTCTCGGAAGCAATCGTTGCTAAATTAGGAATGTGCCCCTCCTCTGAGATTTTTACAAACATGTTTGCATGCGTGAAAATATTTTGTCTCTTTGTTTTAACGTAAGAAGGATCCAGTCTTCCTTCCCATGTACTCATATATACATGTCTGTGTATAGAATTTTTAAAATTATAACCACACTGCACGTGCCGGTTTTTTTTTTTAACCTTGTCTGACTTTAAAACGTATCATTAGCCGGCTTGAAACCGTAATTTAATAAGCACACGTACCATATTTTATTTAACCAGATGCAGATTATTGGCTATTTCAGTAGCTTCTAGTTTCCCACCGCTACAAAGCTCTGGTGAATATCCTTGCCCTGTACATAAGTCTTACAAGTTGGAATTACAGAGCCCAACGGTATAAGCATTTTGAAATTTTTCATCCATAAATGCCAAAATTTGCCACTTAGAAAAATTGTATGAAATGACTTATCCCGATACCATTACCCACACTGGGTGTTGGTGCCTGTTTTCAATCACTTGACAATTGAACAGGCCCAAATGTGTGAATCCTGACATTTTCATCTCTGTCGGTGACTCTTATCTGAGGCTTGTTTTACTCATGTGACAGGATACGGCGAAGCTGGAGTTGAGAGAGCAGGGAAGGTGGAATGTTAAAGTGGCCCCGATCACTGGTTTAGAAAACACACTGTCAGCCTCCCACGTTCAAGGCCTACCTGTAGGGCCCCCTAGCAGGTGCTCAGTAATGGGCTTTTTAATCTGCTTCCCACACCAGCTTCAGGCTGAACCTTTACCCCCAGAGCCCCCGCCCGCCCCTCCCCTGCCGGTCTCATCTCAGATCCATGTGGCAGAACCGCCGATCCCTTCATCCTTTCCTTTGCTGGCTGTGAGTGATATTGTAAGAAACAAATACCCTTGTGTATATGGTAGACTTTTCAGCTGGTCCCACCGCCACTGGCTGCAGCGGAATGGATCCTTGTTCAGTGCCCTGCACGCACACACATACATGTTCACACACCAGGATGCGTGCATATATGCATACATACAAATACATGTAGGACAGCACGAACAGGGTGCAGACCCTATTATGTGAAGTGGGACTTCTCTCTCAGGGAGACTTTCCATAGGACACACACCTACCGAATTCCAGCTACTATACTTTCTTCCCATTTTGTTGTTATTCCTTGTGGGCTTTTTCCTGCTGTCCCGGAAGCCCCACCAGCCCTTAACTTGCTCACCAGTATTTCTCCAGTGCCTAACACTGCTTAGCAGATGCGCAAGAAATATTTGTTGAGTGCAAAAAAGAAGGAACAGACCTCAAGCCGATAAAGGATATTATCCCAAATATTTTTAGAGTATTTTTTAACAAAGTGGCCAGTTTCAGATGGAGCCCATTGTTTGATGAGAAAATATCTCTGCGGCGTTGGATTTCAAGTGGCCTGGTTAGCCGTCCTTCTGGAAAGATTGGAAAGAATGCACAATTGAAAACAGGACCTTGCCCAGCCAAACATCTGTCAAGTTTTACTGTTCTACAAAGGTTGCTGTCCCGGGAATAACGTTCTGAGGAGCAGTTAGCCAGGAAGGGTGCTGCTCGCTGGTCCTCCTGGCCCCTGAGAGTGTTCTCAGCTAAACCTTCAGGAGACTTGCTTGTCTTGCTCACTCTTCCCGACAACAAATGTTTGTGGAATCCCGGGATGAGGGGCTGCTCCCTTTAGCACGGAGTCTCCGAGCCACTTCGGGGGAAGAAGGTGTCTCATCCAGCCGGGCACAGCAGCTATGATGAGGAATGGGCAGGCTTCTGCTCCTTTAAGAAAAGGAAAACCCCGGGGCACTTGGGTGGCTCAGTTGGGTAACAGTCTGACTCCGGCTCAGGTCATGATCGCACGGTTTGTGCGTTCGAGCCCCGTGTCAGGCTCTGTGCTAACAGCACAGAGCCCGCTTCAGATCCTCTGCCCACCCCCCCCCACCCCGAATCTCTCTGCCCCCCTGCGCACATGCTCTCTCTCTCTCTCTCTCTCTCTCAAAAATAAAATAAACATTTAAAAAGGAAAACAAAACTCCATATGGCCGAAGGGAAGCTAGTCTCATAGGATGGCTTCAGATGGCCTCTGTTCATTTCATTCAATGAATCGGCAAACGTGTTTGGAGTCCCTTTATGTCCCAGGTGCAGAGATAAAGAGGATGTGTCACAGGAAGAGAGAGACTGGCCACAGCCACTGCCGGGGGCTTGTGGGAGCCCACAGAAAGGGGCAGCTGAGCAGGGGTGACCAGAGAACAGCAGAGATGCTAGAGGGGGGGTGTGCGGAGAAGGGCGAGGTGAGAGATGGTGGGGGGAGGCAGTCACGGGCGTGATCCTAGGAGCCTGGATTTTCTGCTGCAGGAAATGGGGAGCCATCGAAGGTGGTGGCCGGACCGCAGGCTGTGCGGACTGGGACGTTTCACTGACGGATGCCCGTCACCCAGGCGATTTGGGTACCGCTACTGACCACGGCTCAGGCTCCCCCTCGTTCTCGCTCCTCGCCGGACCCAGTGAGAGCTCAGACTCTACCGCACTTTGTTGAATTCCACAAACTGTTTTAAGGACCTGGAGCTCTGACCTTTCTGGTCTCCTGCATGGAAAGGTCTGGCTTTTCCTTTTCGGGCGGGGTAGGCGGGTCAGCCCTCCTTCCGCAGGCTCACAGAAGGAGCTGAGCGCAGCACGTAAGACATCTGGAATGCATCAAAGGCGAGGCCCCGCCAGAGCCCGTGGCTCCGTCCTGCTTCGTGGCCGCTTCAACAGTACGGCCGCTGTGCTCACAAGAGCGTCTCAGATCCGAACTGATCTTCCCCTCTCCTCTTTCTGCTTTCTCCTTCCAGACCTCTCGGCCGCAGCCGTCCACACAGGATGCCTCGCACTTGCCCGAAGCCATCCCTCCAGAGCTCAGCCGCTGTTTCTTTGGGGTGGCCCTAGGGATTTTGTGCAGGGCGTTGAGCGGGTTTTGGATTGCTTTGGCTGCTGCTGCTGCCCTTATCTATTGATTTTCTTCCTTGGAGCCTGGCCTTGCCCTGCGGGGCCCCCCCCACCCCCCACCCCGGCATGATGGCCCAGTCGAAGGCCAACGGCTCCCACTATGCGCTGACCGCCATCGGCCTGGGGATGCTGGTTCTCGGGGTCATCATGGCCATGTGGAACCTGGTGCCCGGGTTCAGCGCCGCCGAAAAGCCGACCGCCCAGGGGAACAACAAGACAGAGATCGGCAGCGGGATTCTCAAGAGTAAGACCTTCTCCGTGGCCTACGTGCTGGTCGGGGCTGGGGTGATGCTCCTGCTGCTCTCCATCTGCCTGAGCATCCGGGACAAGAGGAAGCAACGACAAGGCGAGGAGATGGCCCACATCCAGCACCAGGCGGGGGCCGAGCCACATGCCCCAGAGGAAGACAGGTGAGGACTGGCCCACCCCCCAGACCGTGGGGGGAGGAGGTGGGGGGACACATGCGTGGGCACACTCTCAGGGCTCCCCGAAGACACCATTTGCGTCTGGGAGACTCTAGGAGACCGCCCCTTTAGTCTAGGGGTAGAGTCTCCTCCCCGCCCCCACTAAGGCTCTGTACAGCCATTTCTAATTGCCCAAATAACTATATTCTTCTATCCCGGAGAGTCCCAAATAATGTGGTATGAATGGATTACAGAGGTACCAAGATTCTGACACCCGCAGGGAAGATGCATGGGGCCTGGGGTGGCCAGAGCCACATCAGGCAGACGGCTCGTCCGTTCACCCCAGCATGCTGTGCGCACACGCCTTGCATCGTAAAGGTTGGGGGGCGGGGGCACCTGGGTGGCTCAATCGGTTAAGCGTCCGACTTCGGTTCAGGTCACGATCCCATGGTTCATGAGTTCGGGCCCCGCATCAGGCTCTCTGCTGTCAGCACAGAGCCTGCTTTGGATCCTCTGTCCCCCTTGCCCTCTGCCTCTCCCCCTCTACTCTCTCTCAGAAATAAACATTAAAAAAGAAAATTAAAAAGAAAAAGAAAAGAAAAGGTTGGGAAGCAGCATCCTGTTGGAGCAAAAAACGCCACAAACACGTTCAAGGGATAAGCGATAAATTGGGGAATAGATGATAAAGGTTGACATCCCTACTATAGAAAGAGCCCTTCCAAATAAATGTGAAAGATGCACACACCAATGGGGAAACGGACAAAAGATACAAGCAAGCTTTTCATCCATGTTCAGACAATAGATGTCCAACCTCATTAGTCACGAGACACAAACAAATAGGTATCATTATTCTTTGCCTATCTTAATGGCCAAGGCAGACAGCCCCCGGTGTTGGAGAGCTGTAGGGAAATGGGGGTGTTGATTGACACAACCCTTCCGAAGGGGAGTTTCATAGTAAGAGGAGGTATTGAGGATGCGTGGACCTATCCATTCTGTTCCCGAGAGCCGATGCTTGGAAGGTCATCACACAAGTGCAAAGGAATTTGTACCCATCTATTCACCAGAGCATTGTTTAGAATAGCAAAACCTGAGAAACAACCTAACCATCATTCAGGCTAAATCATGGCACGCCCATTCAGTGGCATTCTACGCAGCCACAGTCGATCTACAGTTGCTAACGTGGGACCACGTATGCACCACGTTGAGAAAAGGAGGTTTTAACAGCATCTTCGGTAAGGTCCTAATCTCATCAAATGTCGCGGCTGTGGGATTACAGACGAGTCTAGAAAAGTGCACAGCAGAGTGTTAGTGGTTGTGTCCAGGTGGAAGGACTTGGGATGGTTTTATTTTGTGCGTTAGGTTTTCCCGTGTTGTTTGGATTTTCTGCAAGTTTGTTATCTTTCTAGCGGGAAGGGAGTTGTTTTCAGTTTGGAAAAATTCAGTCCATTTTCTGATAAAAGATCGTGCAGGCGTATTCTAGAAAACTTAGGAAATACAGAAAAGAACAAAGAAGGGAAATCAGTCCCCCGTAATTACCACCCTCGCCATGTGAGTGCTCATGGCCGTGAGCACACGCATGGCTAAGGGACACGAGAGGAAGGCCTGGACAAACAGTGAGGGTCAGATGTCGGCCATTATCACCCAAAGGTTCAAGTGTATAAAAAACACCACCACCAACAACCGGCACCCTGACTCTCTGGTTTTCTCTTTCGACAGTCAAATGAGAGTAAGCCTGAGGACCTGGCCTGTCTTTTAAGTCTTGTAGTGAACTTGGAAGACAAAAATCACAGAATCACTTGCAATACATATAAATTTTATATCAGATACTCATTCTCTACCTAGGGAAAACCATTTTGCTTCAAATCGGCAGCGATTTCATGCACGTTCGTGTTGCCTCTGGCCAAAGGACCCAGCAGGGCACCAGAATAGCCCATCCCGCATGTGGTTAAGTGGGAGGCTTAAAAGCAAAGGGGGCTTAATACGTCCTTGTGTTAACGCTTCCAGATAAGACAGTGTAGTCATTGAGAGTGTGGTGTTCTGTGCCTGCTCTCCCGCTTCCTCGATATATGACCAAATCACATGACCTCGATGTGTCTGCTTCCCCATCCACAAAATGGGTACAGTGATAGTACCTAGCTCACAGTGTTGTTAGGCAGATGAGAGTGGTTGGTATGTGTTAAGGTACCTAGAACAGCACCCGACTCCTGTAGGAGGACCCAGTGCTGACACAGGATCTGCTCATCTACCTGTGATTTTCAGGGGCATGAGTCCGTGCTAACCCTCTCCTTGTCGCTGTGTGTTATCTCGCAGCCAGGAGGAGGAGGAGGAGGCCTCCTCAAGGTACTATGTCCCCAGCTACGAGGAGGTGATGAACACAGACTACTCAGAGGCGAGGGAACCGGACCAGAACCCGAGGATGAGCATCTCTCTCCCCTCCTACGAGTCCTTGACGGGGCTCGACGAGTCGAGCCCCACGGCAGCCAGGGCCAATGCGGAGACCGGCGCAGGGAATCCCCCCGACAGGCAGAACTCCAAGCTGGCCAAGCGCCTGAAGCCGCTGAAAGTGCGAAGGATTAAATCCGAAAAGCTCCACCTCAAGGACTTCAGGATCAACCTCCCGGACAAAAACGCCCCTGCCCCCTCCATCGAGCCATTGACTCCCCCGCCACAGTACGACGAAGTCCACGAGAAGCCTTCGGACGCCCGGCCACCTGACTGACGACCTCGCTCCGTGTGTCCCTCCGGTTGCTCACCCTCCACACCACGGACCCCCAGTGAAGCCACTTCAGCTGCAGTCGAGAAGCGGAGGGGCCGGATGCACCCAGAGCGATGTGGCTGGGGGTGGGGGATGGGGGGGGTCCCGGGACTAGGGGGTGACTGACGTCCACAGAACCTCACCTAGCAGGTGCGTCCGAAAGAGCCGCCGCCTCGGGCCTCGGGACGTGCACCCCGCCGGGGCCGCCGCGTAGGCACCTTCCCTGTTGTTCCTCCCCCGACTCGGAGTTGTTGGCGACAAGCCCCTCTTTCCGATCAGGAGAGGACCCCCGAGCGGCTGGTTTAGGTTGTGATTTTTGTTTTGCTTCCACTAGGACTGTTTTGTGTCAAAGAGAAAACAAGTTATCGTGCCTTTGCTTTCCTCACTGGAGTCCTGAGCTGTGGGCAGGAGATGTGACTCAGCCTTATAGAAAGGACACGGGGTCGGTTCGTGAATGAAGACAAACCAGGGGCTGAATGATTGGGGGCGGGGTGGGAGGAGGGAGGCGCGGGGTGGGTGGGGGGGCTGTCTCAGAGTCCCTGAAGCCATCCACTCTCTGAGGGTCCAAGGCCCGGTGATGCATTCCATCAGAGTCTTTCCTGGCTCCCTCTCCTAGTCTCTCCTGTGTAAGGGCAAAAGAGGAAAGCATACTATGAGATGCTCTGTTCCTTCGAAAATGCCATGCAACTGAGCTTTTTATAATAAAATATTTTATATGGACTACAGTCGGATGCTGAATTCCTGCAGCGGCTCTTCCAAAACACTGGCTTGCTTCGAGAGAAACACCGCTGATCCTAAGAATTGCTAACATGCAGGGGCGCCGGGGGGGGGGGGGGGGGGGGGGGGCTCAGTCGGTTGAGCCTCCGACTTAAGCTCAGGTCGTGATCTCGCGGTTTGTGGGTTCGAGCCCCGCGACGGGCTCTGTGCCGACGGTTCAGAACCCGGAGCCGCTTCTGCTTCCGTGTCTCCCTCTCTCTCTGCCCCTCCCCTGCTCACACTCTGTCTCTCTCTCTCCCTCTCAGAAGTAAATGAGCATTAAAAAAATTAAAAAAGAATTGCTGATATGCATGGAACACTTCGTATTACCAGGCGCTGTGCTAAGTATCTCACATACGTTATCCCACTTCCTCTGTATCCTGGCCTCACGGCCATTTTGCAGGTTAGCTCACTGGGGCTTATTAAAGTGCCCCATGTCCCATTGCTAGCACGCGGCAGGGCTGGAGTTTGAACCCAAGCCACCTGGCTCCAGTGCCTGAGTTCTTTAAACACCCTACTGTGCAACCCAGCGTAAAGAGCTTTTCCAGACTTTGAGCGAGAGCGAGGAACTGTGCTTCCCGAGAGCTGGGGCTGCTCCGTCAACCCACGCGCCCAACAGAACATTGTGGCCGTTTAGACAGCAGCTCCTCCCTGTCTAAACATCCTCCCAACGTCCCCCTCCTGAGGCCAGGCGAGAGGGAACCGCTGGGCTGTATGCTCACCCTGGCCGGGTGAGCGTGTCCTCATGGAGAGGGCAAAGCGCCTACCCGGGGAGCCCAGGAAAGCGGTCCAACGAAAGAGAATGTCCATGGGGACTGCAGACTGCTGAGGCCGAACCAGAGGAGAGGAAGAGCGACGTCTGGGGTCACGGTCTTGACCGCGGAGGGAGAGTCTGGGAAGATGCACCCGGGCCCAGGGGTGCCTTCCTGGCATTGGTGAGCTTGAAGTCTGCATGGCTAGGAGAAGAATGAATTCTGCATGGTTGCCATTCTGAGGCCCTGCGTGTTTCCTAAAAGCCCCTAAGTAGGGAAGAGGCAGCAGATAGGAAGTGAATCACCTCCTTATCTCGGGGTTGGCAACAGGGCCTAAATTCCAAACTTTCACTTTCCTTATACAAATCCATCTGCTAAAAGGGAGCTCTAAGGGCCTGCTTCGTGGCTAAGACACCAGAGGGCTGGCCTGCCTGGTCCCAGCCCGCTGCTGAGCCAGCCTGTGGCTCTCCTCGTATCTGTGGGCGGGACTTGATCTTTGGTTAATCTTCACGCTTCCTCCCGAGAGGACAAACAGGAAGAAAAAGAAAAGGAGAATAGCTCATGAGCTAAGAAACAGCTTGCTGTAAGGGCCCTCAATCTGGGCTCTGGTAGATCACCTAGCAAGGTGCCCGCCCCGCCTAGACCCTCCTCGGGAGGTAGATGCTTCTCTTAAGTAGTTAACAACTTTCTTGAACACCCAGGTGTAGAATTCACCACTTATCTCTGAGGGCAGCCTTGACCATGAGCCGCCATGGGTCCATGATTCACTGAGCTGGGACCCTAGTCTGCCTGCTGCTGCTGCCCTGTTTTGCTGACTTGCTGGAAACTATGTGGTCCAAATCCTCCCAGCACAAAATTAGCTTTTCATTTTTTGAAAAGGGAAAGCACATCATGCTAAATATAACGTGGGTCAGCAAGCCAGAAACAACATAAACAGCCATCAGTTGCGTTCGGGAGCTGGGTTTCCACATCCCTGGTGAACCCAACACGGCCTCCAGAGGGAGCGCGGTAATCGAATGGAATGAGCGTTGAGCTTAATCATTGGAAGCGTGAACCCCGTTGTTTCCAACCTGAAAACTAAAACCTTTATTCCATTTGTTCATTCTTTAAAGGCACCACAGGCCCGCTTTTTTTTTTCTGTTTCTGTAGTCCTTAGTCTCCAGTAAGAAAAAAAGACAACAAAAAATCTTTTTCTAACTTCCACACAACACACACACACACACACACACACACACACACAACCAAAACCACTGCAGTATGCATAATTTGAGGAAATTTAAGAATCCATTAAATCGCGTTTGTGTATCTGTTGGTGGAGGGCCCCAAGCCATTATAATATCCAGCAACATGTCCATTCTTGCCTCAGGTGGTCTCACCCCATTGGCAATGCAAGCTTTAAATAATATTAAATAACAAACCTTTCTAAGGACTGACTCTTGTGCTGGTCACATACAGTTCTCGGTGCTTTATGTATCTTTCCTGTTCACTTGTCAAAACCTCCTAAGAGGTGAATGTCAGGAAGGCTTTATTTCCTTACAGTGGTGGTGGGATACTGAGGCACAGGGAGGTTAAGCATCAAGTCACACAGCCAGGAAAGTAGAGTGAGGATTCGAGCTCAGGCAGCCGGGTTTCCAAACTGGTCTAAAGTTCATGTTTAACCACCAACCCATGTTGCCTTGCAGTCACATGCTGTTCTGGTTGTATCATTTCAAGATACAGAAATTGAGTGAGTTTTACACGCTTCATAAGCCCTCTCCGCTCGGAAGCAATCGCTAAATTAGGCCCCTCCTCTGAGATTTCCCAAACATGTTTGCATATGCGGAAAATATTTTGTCTCTTTGTTTTAACGTAAGAAGGGATTCAAGTATAGTCTTCTCCTTCCTATGTACTCATATATACATGTCTGTGTATAGAATTTTTTAAAATTATAACCACACTGCATCGCGTCGGTTTTTTTTTTAACCTTAATTGACTTTAAAACGTGTATCACAGTCGTGTTTGAAACCTGCACTTAATAAGCACATCGCACTCATATTTTATTTAACCAGATGGTGATTATTACAGTGAAGCTTCTTTAGTTTCCCACCGCTACAAAGCTCTGGTGAATATCCTTGCCCTGTACATAAGTCTTACAAGTTGAATTGAAAGAGAGCCCAACGGCACATTTGAAATTTTTCATCCATAAATGCCAAAATTTGCCACTCTAGAAAAAATTGTGTATGAAATGATCTCACCATTACCACTGGGTGTTGGTGCCTGTTTTCAATCAATAAATTGAACAGGCCCAAAATGTGTGAATCCTGACATTTTCTATCTCTGTCGGTGACTTATCTGAGGCTTGTTTTACTCATGACAGGATAAAGCGAAGTTGGAGTTGAGAGCAGGGCGGTGGAAATGTTAAAGTGGCCCCGATCACTGGTTTAGAAAACACACTGTCGGGGCCTCCCACTTAATGTCATAAGGCCTACTCCTAGTCTTCTAGCAGGTGCTCAGTAATAGCTTTAATCTGCTTCCCACACCAGCTTCAGGCCAACCTTACCCCCCTAGAGCTCCCCGCCTCAGCCTCCTGCCGGTTCTATCTGATCCATGTGGCAGGAACCTGGCTGACCTTCATCTCCTTTTCTCGTTGGCTGTGGAGTGATATTGTAAGAAACAAATACCCTTGTGTATATGGTATTCTTTCTAGCTGGTCCCACCGCCATCGGCTGCAGCGGAATGATCCTTGTTCGCGTCTTGCACTATACATGTTCACACACCAGGATGCATATACATACAAATGCTGTAGGACAGCACCTAACAGGTGTAATCCTATTATGAAGTGGACTTCTCTCAGGGAGACTCTCCATAGGACACACACCCACCGGAATTCCAGCTACTTTATACCTCTTCTTCCCATTTGCTGGTGTTATTCCCAGGGCTTTTTCCCTGCTGTCCCGAAGCCCCAATTGTGCCCTTAATCCACCAGTATTTCTCCAGTGCCTAACACTGCTTAGCAGATGCCAAGAAATTGTTGAGTGCAAAAAAAGAAGGAACAGACCCTGCCGAGCAAAGGTTATCCCAAATATTTTTAGGAGTATTTTTAACAAAGTGGCCAGTTTGAGATGGAGCCCATTGTTTGATGTGAGAAAGATTACTTCCTCAAGCGGGCGCTGATTTCAAGGCTCATAGTCAGTCCTTTCTTAAAAGATTGGAAAGAATGCAATACTGAAAACAGGACCCAGCCAAACATCTGTCAAGTTTTACTGTTCTACAAAGGTTGTCCCCGTGGGAATAACGCTCTGCTAGCTGTGAAGGTGCTGCTCGCTGAACTCCTGGCCCCGAGAGTGTTCTCAGCTAAACCTTCAGGAGACTTGTTGTCTTGCTCACTCTTCCCTCGGCCAACAAATGTTTGTGGAATCCCGGGATGAGGGGTTGCTCCTCAACGGAGTCTCTGAGCCACTTCGGGGAAGAAGGTGT